TGGACACAACAGAGACACTGTGGACACAGCAGAGACACTGTGGACACAACAGAGACACCGTGGAGACATCAGAGACACCGTGGAGACATCAGAGACACCGTGTACACATCAGAGACACCGTGTACACAACAGAGACACTGTGGACACAACAGAGACACTGTGGACACAACAGAGACACTGAGGACACAACAGAGACACTGTGGACACAGCAGAGACACTGAGGACACAACAGAGACACTGTGGACACAGAGGAGACACTGTGGACACAGCAGGGACACTGAGGACACATCAGAGACACCGTGGACACAACAGAGACACTGTGGACACAGCAGAGACACTGAGGACACAGCAGAGACACTGTGGACACAACAGAGACACTGTGGACACAACAGAGACACTGAGGACACAGCAGAGACACTGAGGACACAACAGAGACACTGTGGACACAACAGACACTGTGGACACAGCAGAGACACTGAGGACACAACAGACACTGTGGACACAGCAGAGACACTGTGGACACAGCAGAGACACTGAGGACACAGCAGAGACACTGAGGACACAACAGAGACACTGTGGACACAGCAGAGACACTGTGGACACAGCAGGGACACTGTGGACACAGCAGAGACACTGTGGACACAGCAGAGACACTGTGGACACAACAGAGACACTGTGGACACAGCAGGGACACTGTGGACACAGCAGAGACACTGAGGACACATCAGAGACACTGAGGACACAGCAGGGACACTGTGGACACAGCAGGGACACTGTGGACACAGCAGAGACACTGTGGACACAGCAGAGACACTGTGGACACAGCAGAGACACTCAGGACACAACAGAGACACTGTGGACACATCAGAGACACTGTGGACACAACAGAGACACTGTGGACACAGCAGAGACACTGTGGACACAGCAGAGACACTGAGATGGCAGATGAAGATCTGTTGGAGGACTTCAGGTGGACTGGGTGTGTATCTGGCAGATGAAGACTTGTTGGAGGACTTCAGGTGGACTGGGTGTGTATCTGGCAGATGAAGACTTGTTGGAGGACTTTAGGTGGACTGGGTGTGTATCTGGCAGATGAAGACTTGTTTGGGGACTTCAGGTGGACTGGGTGTGTCTCTGGCAGATGAAGACTTGTTGGAGGACTTCAGGTGGACTGGGTGTGTCTCTGGCAGATGAAGATCTGTTGGGGGACTTCAGGTGGACTGGGTGTGTCTCTGGCAGATGAAGACCTGTTGGGGGACTTCAGGTGGACTGGGTGTGTCTCTGGCAGAAGAAGATCTGTTATAGGACTTCAGGTGGACTGGGTGTGTCTCTGGCAGATGAAGACCTGTTGGGGGACTTCAGGTGGACTGGGTGTGTCTCTGGCAGATGAAGCGCAGTCGGGGGACTTCAGGTGGACTGGGTGTGTCTCTGGCAGATGAAGCGCAG